ATAAAATGTTCCATAAGTGATATTTTATATTGACACATTTCCTCCTATTCTGCTAATTTTGGCTGTGTGAACACACACACACACACACACACACACACACACACACACCACTTGTCTTAAATCTTAAATTTATTCAAAACTTAAAAATGTATATCTTCATATTTTTTCTTCTCTTTATAAAAATATTTCTAATATCATAAAATTTATTTGGTATGAGATGCAAATATAAATTCATCTCCCCTTATATTGACATATAAATGTCTCCAGAGCGAAAAACATAATTTTTTTCTTGACTAACTTCTTTTTTTTTGTACTACTTTAACCCTGTAGCCCGACTTTCTACTTTCTGTGCAACAGAGCAGAATAGTGATAAATGCTATCTATCACTGTTTTGAAATCTGGTGAATAGAGTGTTTAATACATATGAATCTAAATGTTTTACTGTTAATGTGTATATATAAAATGGGTAGTTAAACCTCAGTCCACCACAATGAAATTCTTATGCTGGAGATTCTAAAATATTGACCGCTGTGATTGTAGTGTTTGTGTGCATGTGACAGAGCAAAACAGAGAGACAGACAGGGAGAGAAGAGGCAGAGAGAGAATATTTGTTTTTGTGTCTGTTTGTTTAGTGGTAAAGATTTCTAGCATTTCTAAAACATAAAAGATATTAATATAAATTTTATAGTAAGTTTTTTTTCCAAAATGCCCAAGGATATTTTCCCATAGATCTCACAAATAGTTAAGCAGCAAAAAAAGGACCCCATAAATTTATAAAAAGATACAACTGAGGTGCCTGGGCGGCTCAGTTGGTTAAGCATCCGGCTCTTGATTTGGGCTCAGGTCACGATCTCAGTGTTTGTGAGTTCAAGCCCTGCACTGGGCTCCATACTGACAGTGTAGAGCCTGCTTGCGATTCTCTTTCTCTGTCTCTTTCTTTCTCTCAAAACTAAACAAACCATTTTTTAAAAAAGAAAGAAAGAAACACAACTATCACAGATTTTAAATCAGCAAAAACATGAACTCATAGCAAACAGAGAGGAAGGCTAAGATTTTGTAACTTTAAGAAATTCTATATAAGAAAGAATTTCTGATCCTCCTAGAATACATATGTGGCAGTTACTAGCTACATTATTATAATTTTACGAATAATATTCTACAGAGAATGCATCTTTACAATACAGTATAATAAATATGTGAAGATTGATGTGCCATTAATAAAAATCTGCACTTTATAAAAAATATCCCAACAAATAGAATATTTGGAAGTTTGATATTTTAGGAGAATTCCAAGTAGAAGAGGATAAAAGTATTGTGCTCTATGATGGAAAGATAGTGATATTTCTAAGGATGTGATTTAATTACATAAATCTATTTTTACCCAGGCCTGTATTTATAATGAGAAGAGTTACCCAATATTTTTATAGACCCATAAGAGCTCAAAGGAAAAAATAAATCTGCAAAACCCTATTTATGAAATCTGCCCATTTCTAAGGAAACCAAAAAGCAGGCAAAGCCCAAAATAGTGCTCCATATGCTCGTGGCTGAACTCATTTATTTCCACTGCTGACTGTCAATAAGGCAAAAGCTCCTCAAAAGCCCTGATGTCATTTCACGTGTCCCCATGTGCTATGCCTTCTCGAATGCCTTCCCACGTGGAGAACACGCCCGCCCGCCATCACAGCCTGTCTCCATTTCCATAACCAGGGCTGAGGTCGCCTCTTGAGTCTGCCTACAGACAGACTCTCTCACGTCTAATGCAAACTGAGTCAGTGAAAATTTTAAAAAAGGATTTTATTTTTTGTAATACAATGACAACTTTTTTTAAACAGTCACCATTGATAACCAACTGGAAGAGGGCTCCAGCTAAACCACCAGACTGATGCTGAAAGGTAAAACAATGCCAAATATGTTGGCCAATCATAAATGTTCCTAAATATTGAGATATTTGTTCTCAGAGGGGCGGATCTCCCCTAGAAGTGTGACTGATTGATTGATTGATTGATTGATTGATTTTTCATTTTACTGTAGAACTAAATACACTAGGTTGGAGCAACTAATACATGTTAAATTCCACTTATTTAGCTATGAATGTATCTTATATTCCAGACTCCACTTTCATCTAGCTATGAATGTATCTTATATTCCAGAATTTTCAGTTACTAAGAAAACATGGTATATATTTATTTGCAAATCCTCTCCATTTATGTTCACTTTTGGCTCTGGTGTTTGATACCCTTTCAGGTAGTTTACCCTTCAGAGCTTAGATTTTAAAAATAAAATAATTTTGGGGTGCTTGGACGGCTCAGTCAGTTTAGCATCCGACTTCAGCTCGGGTCTTGATCTCGCGGTTTGTGAGTTCGAGCCCCACGTCGGGCTCTGTGCTGACAGCTCAGAGCCTGGAGCCTGCTTTGGATCCTGTGTCTCCCTGTCTCTCTGCCCCTCCCCTGCTCATGCTCTGTGTCTCTCTCAATAACAAATAAACGTTAAAAATAATAATAATAAAAATAAATAAATAAATAAATAAATAAATAAATAAATATAACTTTGAGCTAATATTAACATGTTTGACTAGAAAGAACATATAAGGGACCATATAGGGTAGCGAGGCGAATCAGTTAGGAGTAGGGGTAGAAGCTTTCAAAGACATTGATTTGCGTTGTATAAGGAGCCACACTTACCGATGACCGTGAGAAACATGTTGGCCGCAACAAGGCCAAATGAGTTCCGAGCCACACATTCATACTTTCCTTGGTCTGCTTGCCCTGCATCATAGATGGTGAGCACGCCTTCACCACTGACATGGAATTTACCACTCTCCGTAATCTGAACACCTGCCTAGGGAGCGGAAAGAATTGCCACGGGAAGAAAATGTGATCGTTCAAAAAATAACACCTTACATTTTGTTTGATATAGCTTCATTTGTTCTACAAATATCTGAGCACTCACTGTGTCAGGCACCAGAGGTAATTTATGAATACAATGAAGAGAAGAAAAGAGAGAGGAAGTGCTTGTCAGGAAGCACAGTTTGTCTCCCTCTCTATAATAAATATGAAACTCAAAATTCAATTATGTAATTATTTCCTATTGTGATCATTTTAAAATAATTCCCATGAAGGAAAATATACCGTTTATTCATATTTTTCTTCTACAAAAGGGTTCTGACAACAACAGTAAAAATAAAATTTGAAAAGAAGGAAACTTTTCATAAATCTACAACCTAAAAGCATCAAAGATATTTTCATATTACGGATTTCTCTTCTATTTCTTCTTCACATGTACTCATAAGCTTTATGTTGCTGCAAAGTTTCACATATCGGTGTTTCTTAATTAAAACACTACCTTAAGAAGAGAAAATGACTACATTTCACATGAAATATTATTAAACTGTATTCAGTTACAGACAGCCTGGGTGGCCCAGGCGATTGAGTGTCCGACTTTGGCTCAGGTCATGATCTCGAGGTTCATGAGCTCGAGCCCCATGTCAGGCTCTGTGCTCACAGCTCAGAGCCTGGAGCCTGCTTCCGATTCTGTGTGTCTCTCTCTCTGCCCCTCCCCCACTCACACCTCTGTCTCTTTCTCGCAAGGGTAAATAAACATTAAAAAAAAATTCTTAATGTAGTCAGTAATTATTAGTATGCTATATGTACTTTTCATTATTATGTCATTAACTTTAAAAAGTTTTTTAATGGTTATTTATTTCTGACACAGAGAGAGACAGAGGACACAAAAAACTTGCATGAACTGCAAGATCATGACCTGAACCGAAGTCAGACGCTCAACCGACTGAGCGTCCTTTTAAAAAGGAAACCTTTTAAAAAGGAAAAGATATTGGCTTTCTGGCACTGCACCGGAGTGGAGCAGGGGTAGAGACGCTTCTCTCCTACCTCTCCCCAGGAAACACAGGAAACTGAGAATGGGACCCGCTGTTTCAAAAGAACTCAGATCCCAGTGATGGCCAGTAGGCCCGAATGTAACCAGAAAGGTTCAGAGTGAAAAAAATGCCTTATAGGTCTTCAGATGCTCACAGTTGTCTTTGACCACTACTAGAAAACAAGTCCAAGGTGACCGGTGGCTGGTAGGTAACTCAGGGCAGGCGACGGAGGAAGAAGCAGGACCTACCAGATGGAGGGTAGGTGGAAAACCACCAGAAGTACAGAAGGGGTAAGAAGTGAGCAGGTGCACAGGCAGTAAGGCCAGAGGGTCTCTTTCCTTCAGGACAGCCTCCCTCCACTTCCTCTTGCTGGACCATCATCACATCTTTGCAAAAAGCACTCCTTTCTGCTGTCCTTACATACGGCCAGACCCCTCGGGCTAAACCTATAGTTCTAAGTTGTTGCTTAGAGCCTCTGAGCTATCAGGCAGATTTCCCATAAATTCCTGATCTCCTTATTTTAGGTAGTTTCTGTTGCTTGTAGCAAAAGTAGCCTAACTCAGAGCCATTTTAAACTCATGAATTTAGGATCACTATAAAGATGAAATGTGATAGTGTATAAAAAATGTCTGGCACATAGTCAGCCCTCCATCAATTCATTTGGGATTTGAAGCTACCTTTTAGAAATTAGACTGAGCTATTTTGCTGACAAGATTATATGAGGGAGCATTTAGTATAATGCCAAATAAGGCTTTAGAGACTGACCACAATGTGTATTTTCCACTTCCTATTTTTAGTATAAAAATATTCGAGTCATCTCCTATTACATTCAAAAGAAATTATAAAAACTATTCAGACTATTTGAGAGTGCGTGAGCCCAAAGTTTCAGCTCTGAGATCACGATAAACTTACTTTGTGCAGAGAACCACACGTGATGCTCAGCCACAGCACAAAAGGGAGCCACCAAAAATAAGGCCTTGTTGTTATTTGGCAACAACAAAAATGAACCAAGCGTTTCGGAAAAGGGCTTTGCAACTTTTCACCAATTTTACTTTTTGTCAAAATCCTCTGTAAAAACTGACATTCTTATGTATGCGACATCACTTATTTTTGAGAACATCAGAATCTGAGGCCAATCATTTCATTTTAATAACAATCTTAAAATGAAAGAAACAATTACATTGAAAGGATATAGCTCAAAGAACCAAAGGAAGTAAAAGATAGAACTGAGAAGCTATTTGTTTTACAGTCGCTGAGGTCTTGACCTACCGGAGGGTTTTTTTCATATCCCTTTGCTTTAATACCAAGCTTTTTCATTCTTTTCTTGCTGTAGTTAATGCCCTACTTTTTATTTTATTTTTATTTTTTTTTTCAACGTTTATTTGTTTTTGGGACAGAGAGAGACAGAGCATGAACGGGGGAGGGGCAGAGAGAGAGGGAGACACAGAATCGGAAACAGGCTCCAGGCTCCGAGCCATCAGCCCAGAGCCTGACGCGGGGCTCAAACTCACGGACCGCGAGATCGTGACCTGGCTGAAGTCGGCCGCTTAACCGACTGCGCCACCCAGGCGCCCCGTTAATGCCCTACTTTTAAGCCACTTCTGAGTTATTCATTCAAAATTGTTTCTTGCTCGTCACTAAAACTTCTAATCTATATAAGACAAAAGCAATTTTTCCTTAGAAGAATTTAGCTATGCTTATGAAGCTTTCGTCACCAAGCAAATGAGAAAAGATAAATTTTATCAAAGCCCTGAGCCAAAATCAGATGCAGTCGCTTAAAAGATGAACAAAAAAGAAACAGGAAATAAACTTGTCTCGGTGTAAAATGTATTCCTCGCTAGCAAAAATCACAACAGTAATAAATCAATGTGAGAATCGCTACCTGTTTTCAGTAGGTCACTACATTTGTCAGTGTTTTTAATATTACTCTACTTTTAGCTGAGAGCCTACCTTATTCCAAGTAATCACGGGCTGTGGTTCTCCTCGAGCATGACATGAAATGTTTATATTCTTGCCAACCTGTATACTCGTGTCCTGAGGTAGTTGAGTAAACACTGGGAGAGCTGTGGAAGCGAATCAAAATGACGTCATGTCAATATCATTTTTTTGTCAGCGTGCTTCATCCAAGTCAAATGGTATAAACCTGGATATGACATAGGTTAGCCATACTAGTTTTTTTAAAAAGCAATTACTAGGACATCTGAGAGAATAATAAACATCAAAGCCGTGGTACTCAGGATAGGTACGAGAACAGAAAAAAAGGAAGAGAACTATACACAGCCTCTATCCTTAATATTTTAACCCTAACCTTTAACCTTAAATATTTGTAGTGTTTACTTCTTCAGCTAAGTAGCGGGTACAAGCATTTTCATTATTCTTTTTCAATATCTTTTCATTAAGTCTAAAAGAAAGATACATGGTAACATCTAAAATATATTGCTGGCTAAAATAAAGCGACTCAATCTTACTTTATTTCCTCAAAAACCAAACTATTGTGTCTTACCTAATATAAAATAGATTGTTGGAATAACCCTAGAACTACTAAAGAAATTGAATTCCTAATTTTTTTTTTAATCATCGGACATCAATCTTTAGGAAAGAATTAAAATCTCTTTACTAGAGAATTCTATCCAACATCCAATCTTTTCTAGAAACTAAAAGAGGAGGGTGTGTTTCCAGACTCTTTTTAGGTGGCTTACTTTAATATCAAAACTAGGTAAGACAGTGTCAAAATCAAAAAAGAAAAAGAAAACCCTACAGACCAGTACCTCTCATGAATACAGACACAAAAATCATTCATAAAGCACTGGCAAATAGAATTCATCAATATTAAAATGTTATTTCAGAAGCGCAAGACCGGTTCAGTACTTGAAAATCAATCAATGGGATCTACCATACTAACAACTAAAGAATAAATGTCCTGATAATTTCAATCGGTGTAAAAAGCGTTTCGCTACTTTTAATACTCATTTATGATTAAATAAAAGCTCTCAGAAAAATAATAATAGAAAGCCTACACAACTTGAAAATGAACACAGACAAAAACCTACAATAAACATGCTACTTAATGGTGCAGGAGTGAATGTTTCCCCTTCAGATAGGAAACAAGGCCAAGAATGTCTTCTCTCAGAACTCTGATTCCACATAGTGCTGGAAGTTATAGCCAGTGTAATATGGCAGGGAAAGGACATAGAAGACATACAAATTGGAAAAGAAGAAATAAAACTGTCTCTATTTGCCGATGATATGTGTCTACACAGAAAATTCTAAGAAATCTACAAAAATACTTCAAAGTGAGCTCAGTAAGGTCGCAGGATACAAGATAAATGTAAAATATATCAATTATGTTTACAAATTCAAGCAATAAACATATAGACACAAAAACTTAAAAAAGAATACCTTATACAATTTTTCAAAAACATTAAAATATTTGCATATATAACTAACAAAACATGTATAGCACTTGTATGCTGAAAACTACAAAATGTTGATGTAAGAAGTCAAATGAGATGTAAAAATGAACGTAGAGATCTATCGTACCCATGGATTGGAAGTCTCGAGATAGTAAAGATGTTATTTCTCCACAAACTGATACTGGGTTTAACGCAGTTCCTTTCGAGATCTCACAAAGATTGTTTTTGGAGATATAGAGAAGATTATTTTAAAATGTATATGGAAATGCAAAGGAACTGAAGTAGCTAAACAATTTTGACAAAAAAGGATAACGTGAGAGGAATCAACCCACCAGATTTTAAGACTGGTTATATAGTTATGGAAATTAATACTGTGTGGTATTGATGAATATGGGCACAGACAACTGCATCAATAGAACAGAGAAAAGAACCCAATAATACAATCACACAAATATGCCCAACTGCTATTGACAAAGGTGCAAAAACAACTTAATGGAGTCCTTTTCAACAAATGGTGTTGGGCAATTAGGTACGCAAAGGCAAAAAACAAAACAAAACAAAAAAACAACCTAAGCTTGACACCTCGTACAAAAACTGACTCAAAATGGACAACACACCTAAATATAAAATGTAAAACTATACATATAACTTTAAAAAAACAGGAGAAAATCTTTGGAATGTAGGGCCAGGCAAAGAGTTCTTAGATCCTACATTGAAAGTATAACCCACCATAGGGCACCTGGGCAGCTCAGTCAGTTTAGCATCTGACTTCAGCTCAGGTCATTATCACAGTTTGTGAGTTTGGTCAAGCCCTGCATTGGGCTCTGTGCTGACAGTGCAGAGCCTGTCTAGGATACTCTCTCTCTCTCTTTCTCTCTCTCTCTCTATGCCCCTCCCCCCTCTCAAAACTAAACAACAACAAAAGAAAATATAATCCACTGAAGAAAAAATTGAGAAACTGGACTCTGTCGGATTTGAAACCTTTTGTGTTGGGAAGACCATGTTGAGAGCATGAAAAGGCCAGTTTCCAACTAAGAAAAAATATTTACAAACTGCATATACGACAGAGGACCAGTGTCTTGAATATACAAAGAACCCTCAAAATCCAACACTGTAAGATGAAACAATTCAACTAGAAAATGGGCAAAAGGTATGACATTGCACTGAAGAGAATACACATGACAAATCAACCTGTGAAAATATGCTCAACGTCATTAGTCATGAGGGAAATGAAATGCAAGTTAAAACCACTATAAGGTATCACTACACACCCCTGTCAGAACGGCTAAAATGAAACATAGGGACAACACAAACCACTGACAAGGACGTGGATCACTCATACATTGCTGGTGGGGATATAAAATGGCAAAGCCACTCTGGAAAATAATTTAGGAACTTCCTTAACAATTTAAAGATGACACTACCCAGGCGCCTGGGTGGCACAGTCAGTGCCAGCATCCAGCTCTTGATTTTGGCTCAGGTCACGATCTCATGGTTCATGGGACTGAGTCCTGCATCGGGCTCTGTGCTGACAGGGTGGAGCCTGCTTGGGAGTCTCTCTCTCCCTCTCGTTGACCCTCCCTCCCTCTCTCTGTCAAAATAAACAAACAAACATTAAAAAATAACGAAGATGACATTACCATACAATCCAGCAAGTGCACTCTTGGGCATTCATCCCACAGAAATGAAAACTTAACTCTCACATACAAAAACCCGTATGGGAATATTTATAGTGGCTTTCCTAGTAATAATCAAACAATAAAAGCCATATGCCCTTAGGGTGCCTGGGTGGCTCGGTCAGTTGAGCGTCTGACTTCAGCTCAGGTCATGATCTCATGGCTTGTGAGTTCGAGCCCCACGTCGGGCTCTGTGCTGACAGCTCAGAGCCCGGAACCTGCTTCAGATTCTGTGTCTCCCTCTCTCTCTCTGCCCCTTCCCCACTCATGCTCTGTCTCTCTCTCTCTCTCTCTGTCAAAAATAAACATTAAAAAAAATTTTGTTTAAAAAAAAAAAGCCATATGCCCTTCAACGAGTGAAAGATTAAATAGACTATGGTACATTCACATCACGGCGAACTGCTCAGCAGTAAAAAGAATAACTGGTAAATGACTTGATGATCCAAAGAATAACTGATAACACACAAACTCTGGATGAATCTCCAAGTAATTATGCTGAATGAAAAACACCAGCCCCCAAAGATTACATCCTGTGTGACTCTATTTATGTGACATTCTTGAGACAACAGAACTATAGAAATAGAGAACAGATTGGTCGTTGCTAGGGTTTTAGTAGGTGGAGTCTGCAGTTTGGTAATGAGTCTGGATCTCTTTGTGTTACTTCTCACAACTAACTGTGAACCTACAATTATCTCAAAATAAAAGCTTGAACTAAAATAAGTCAACTCTGTGGACATGCAGGGGAGTAATACGCACCAAACCCGGGTTAGTGGCAAGTAGGCTGGGGCTGAGAACAGATAGAAAAGAAGAACAAACAATCTTGCAGCCTATTTGTGATGCTTATTTCTTCATCTGAGTAGTGGGCAAAGGGGTTTTCATCATTTCTTTCTTGGTGACTTTTTCTATGATTGGAATAAAAATACATGGTAACATCAAAAATCTATTACGAAGATAAAAAGATTCTGTTCTTGAAGTGAGAATCGTATTTTGTTACTTTCAAATCTTACGTTACATGCCAAGTTAGCACATGTACTTGGGTTTTTTAAACTATGGCTTATGGATTCCTGACAATGCACGGAGGACATCTCGTGAGCACTAGTGACTCTATTAGGCAATGACCTTCCTGACTCATCCAAGGGATCTCCAATAGCCAACACTTCACATCATGGCCTCCGTTATGTGACATCCCCTATCTCCAGCCATGTTCACCTCCTGTCTCAACAGCTACTCATTACCACCACTTATATGCCATCACTTATAATCTTTTGAAAATATCTAATACCACACCCTACAGCAAAACCTCTTCTTCCTCCTGGTCTGTCATCCCCTCATTACGACGCCATCTACATTGCTGGGAACCTTCCATTTCCTTCCTGTTGACAAACCCCATCCAGTGTCATTCTCTTCCCTTTTCAGCCAAGACCCCAAGTTTCATCACCTCTGCCACTTTCCTTCCCAAACTCCAACTGTCCTTCTGTTCGATACACTTGCACTGTTTTCTTCGTGTCTGTCCTTCAAAATATCTGGAGTGATCATGTGTCCCGTTTTATCAGAATCAACCTGCCTTTGTCACTTCAGATCCTATTTAACAACAACAAAAAATCCATTTCTCGGCACACCCTTCTCCTACAAAATATTAGCATTTTCTACTTCTACAAAATATTGACATTTTCTACTCCACAAGGGAAAAAAAAAGACAAGCCATCAGGCTATAAATTAAAAAAAAAATTTTTTTCATATTTATTTATTTTTGAGACAGAGAAAGAGAGACAGAGTGTGAGCAGGCAAGGGGCAGAGAGACAGGGAGACACAGAATCCGAAGCGGGCTCCAGGCTCTGAGCTGATAGCACAGAGTCCGATGTGGGGCTCAAACCCACGAACCCTAAGATCATGACCTGAGCCGAAGTTGGAAGCTCAGGCAACTGAGCCACCCAGGCGCCCCAGGCTATAATTTTTTTAACTTCCTACACTCCA